AATGGCACTCGCTCAGTCGTACGGAAATGAGAAAGGGGATCCAAATCATGGCTTTAATAAAGATGTTTAAGCATGCACTGGCATCGCTATGATTCAGTGTTTATCTCATTTTCGAGGCTTTTTGATTATTTTGGGGCTACGAAGCGCAGACTTGTCCACAAGCTTGCGTTGAGTGTGGACATCCAGACACACTCGTTGGCGCTGGGGGCACACTTAAGTGTGGAGTGTCTGGTCTGAGAGAAGCGCCTCCCTAATTAGAGGGGAGCCTGGTGCAGGACATCTCTATAGGCCCATGAACGGGGCCCTCGCCAGCTTTGTTCAGAAAACCTCTTCTTCCACTAAGGCTGTCACTTTAGTTTTCTATGGCGCTGAGTGCCTGGGCTTCTTAATGGTTTTGTTTGTGCCAAATCACTGGAACAGTTTGTGGATAGTTTCAAAGATTTTTCTGCAACACAACAAGTCTTGCTGAAGGGAACTCTGCTTCCTGATCTATTTTTCTCTTCCTGCTCTAAAACTGAGCAGCAAATTGAAAAATAAATTAAAAAAAGCTCCAAAGTTCCCACTTGGTGACATTAAAAGGCAATGCTAGTTTTTGTTTTTTCTGGCTAACGCTGTCAAGGTCCCAACATGTGATTATTTCCAACTCAGTTTTGCATATAAATCTAATTATTCATTGAGATATAAATTAAATTCCACATTCATGAACACCGTGACCCCCCTCCCCCTTCGTGTCTCCTGCAGGACACCATTCAATGACAAGCCTCTTTCTCCCTCGCTTTTTTTTCTGCAAACCATGAGATGGAGGAGCCGCTGCAGCTGCTGTTCACATCAAACAGATAATTGGTCGTGAAAAGTCATTGTGAGACATCATGTTGTCCTCGGGATCATTGTTCACTCCCCCCTCAAATAAAATACTAAAATCAATATGAAGGACCACGGTGTTTCACAAAGTTTTCACTTGTGACTGGAAACTAATAATCATCCTCTGATGGCCACTTTTATCCAACAAGTTTGTAAAAAGAACAATAATGATGTGAAGGTGCTATTTATAAGACTGAGTTTGTTGCGGCTCCTCGAACTGATGAAGTGTTTTGGGTGAAAAACGAAATATTTCAACAAAAAGAAACTGTCCAGAGGAGATGACTTGACTTTGATGGATTTTCTACCTGGAGTATTGAGCATGAACTTTAAAATGACGCTTGTTATCTCACTGGAATTTGGGGGACGGGGTCAGCATCACTTTAACATCTTTTACTCAAGTTACTTGCACATATAGCCCCAAATAAAACATGTTGAATAAAGTCACAAATCATCTGAAGGGGATACACTTTGTTCCATATTCCTCCATTCAATTGAAATGTCCAACGTTTTGAATAGGCCTTGTGATTAATGGTCCATCAACACAAGTTGTAAAGGAGCTGGACTGTGAGGGCACGCCGAAGCAAACTGAAAGCTCCAGTACCGAGAGTTTCAAACACGTTATAAAGTTCAACAAAGTTAAGTCAGCTCCTCTGGACGGGTTCTTTTTGTGGAAACTTTATAAAGTCTTTGACTGTTAGTCTGTTAGCAAAAATATCATGAACCACTGGACAGATTTGAATGATATTCTCAGAAAGTAATCATTGAATATATATTTAATCATATTCAACTGATTAAGCTTGGAAGTCAACCCTGATAAACGCCACGGCCGATCAAGCTTAGGAAATACAGACATTTTTAAATATAAGACATTTACGATACATAGTTTGTCGGAGCTCTTGTGATATTCCTCGAGAATACGTAGTCATTTTCAAGGTTTGATCCAAACAGCTGTCAGTTGTCAACATATGATGAGTTTAGTTTGAAAGTGTGGCCTGAAAGGCAACGGGCATGTGCACCTCTTCAAAGACGAAGGCCTTTATTTTTTCTCTTCATTGTTTACTGTTGGAACAGAGACTGAGACCGAGCAAGCCCCATTTGCTGCTCAGACATCTTAACCCAAGAAAAAGCTGCAGCCCTGTCAGCCGGAGCAGAATAAAGCGAATCAAAGATTTTGTTTCCTTAAATGGACTAATTTTCTCCTTGAATTATGAAAGTAATGACGAGGTAACAGCCTGTGCTCAGTACCCAGCAGCTTAATGCCTCCTAAATCCTTCCACGTGGCTCCACTAGTCCCGGCAATTAGGCCTCATTATATCCTCATAAACGGTCTCATTTGTGGGATTTACCTAATAGACAATGAAATTTTTATCTCGCAGAATTATTGAAGGAAATAATATGTGAGCGCGCGTGGTGTGTGCTGCCGAGGACGCGCGCCACGCATCATTCCGCTCGGTTTGCTCGCTCTCCTCTCATATCTGCACCATGAAACCCGTGCGCGTCTTCCCTGTCAGAGGCGGAATTCACTTTGTTAGAACAATTACTGTCTGTGCAGCAGACATGGCCGTCTTACCTCTGGGATGGTTGGCCTTTTAAACACTTTCTAATTCTCTCAAGGAGCAACTCACACTCCACTAAGCTGTGTGCTTGTTTGAATCTTGCGTGTAAAATGTAACTCCATCAGGTTGGTTTCTTTTATTACTGCCTTTTCCTCTCCCTCTGAAATCAGGGTGGAGGAGCGGCCTCATGCTGTGCTGAACCCGGATGGTCTGCGCCTCACATGAAAGCAGAAGGAAAAACCTGCCAGTGACCCCCCCAGCCTCCCCCACCCTGGCCTGAGGATCAAACTCGCTAATTATTGTCACAAGATGAGGGATTAAGGCATTTCTGAAATAGCTGCCTGTTTACCCCCGCACAGAGCGGCCATGATAAACACTTTCTAATTGAATCCTAATCGTCGTGGAACCACCGCGGCCCAGACGCTCCATCACTCCACAATGATTTTATTAAGTCAGACTGGACCAGGATCCAAGTCTGATTACAGCTGGCTGTCGCGTGAATAAGTCCTTAAAGTGTTTTTTTGTTTGTTTGTTTGTTTGTTTTGTTTTGAGAAACGAACAGACTGTTATAATGTTATAATCAGAAGTCTGAATGAAGTCCATGATGTGTATTTTTGTTATTGTGTTATAT